TCCTCTGTCTACTCGCCACTCGCTCTCAGCTCTTCCTTCGGATAAGTCCGTAGAGTCAAGTGGCCCGTACCCAGAGCTTGTTGGCTGCCTCATGTACCTGATGACCTGCACACGACCTGACCTTGCATACCCTCTTAGCATCTTGGCACGCTATGTTGCTCCTGGGAGACACCGACCAGAGCACATGACTGCAGCGAAGAGGGTATTGCGCTACCTGTGCAGTACGTCGGGCATGGGGCTAGTGCTTGGAGGGCGGAGTCCAGTGGTCCTTACCGGCCACGCGGACGCTTCTTGGGCTGACGACCAGGCTACGCAGTGGTCGTCACAGGGTTACACCTTCAGTCTTGGTTCCGGCTCTGTCTCGTGGCGGGCTACTCGTTCGTCTTCGGTTCTCAGCTCCAGTTGTGAGGCTGAGATCTACGCCGGGGCCATGGCTGCACAGGAGCTTCGCTGGCTCACCTACTTGCTGACTGACCTTGGAGAGCCGCCTCGTTCTCCTCCAGTGCTGTACGTAGACAACAAGGCCATGCTGGCCTTGTGTCAAGAGCAGCGTCTGGAGCACAGAACGAAGCACATTGCTCTTCGCTACTTCCTTGCTCGTGAGCTACAGCAGCGTGGACAGTTGCGGCTTGCGTACGTGGCCTCTGAGGCCAACACTGCTGATGTGTTCACCAAGGCACTCGCGCCTTGTGACCATCAGCGCTTCTGCACCCAGCTGGGTCTTGTGCCTGTCTTGCCTCACTTGCTCTCCTCTTGACTTTACTTGTACTGTGACATATATATACCTGCTCTTGCTTGTCTAGTTCTATATATATATGTCTGTACTCCTGCTTGTGAACCGGCCTCTGGCCCTGCTCTTGTGCTCGGACTGTGTGGTGACTTTGTGATCCACCCTGAGTTTGCTTTGCTTTGCTTTGCTTGACTGGTCTTGTGACCCCTTGTTCTCCCCCACTTTGCCTATGGGGGTGTGTCAGATATATATGACATAGCTGTTGTAAGCTATAGTGGGGTAGCACATATGGGGTACAGCTTTCTAGGGTTTGCTTTTGTACCCAACTTTCACTTAGTCATTCTCATTCCTGTTCATTATTCTCACACACTACCATCGTTCGATTGCACGGGATACCAGCGTCGATCATCAGCGACAGGGACACGAAGTTTACCAGTAATTTCTGGCGGAACCTGTGGCAGCAGTTCGGCACGCGACTTCAATTCAGTTCATCCTATCACCCCGAAACCGACGGACAGACAGAACGGACAAACCAGACCATGGAGCAGCTGATTCGAGCCACGTGCGACGACCCAAACACGTGGGAGCAGCAGCTGCCCCTCATCGAGTTCGCATACAACAACGCACCATCTGCCACGACCCAACAGTCGCCATTTTACTTGAACTACGGACAGGACCCAACAGTACCCATGACACCGAATCCAGACAATCCCGTTCCACGCGCACAACAGTTCGCCGAGATTCTGCAAGCAGCACGGACCAGGGCTGCGGAAGCTTTAAAAAAATCAAATATCATCGCTAAACGTAACGCCGATTGCCACCGCAGACCCGTCACTTATCAGCCCGATGACCTCGTATTACTCGACACTCAGAACGTCCGCCTGCCCATCACTCCCAAACTCCGCCCTCGATACTGTGGGCCATTTCGAATCAGCCACATGATCACACCCGTCACCGCGCACCTCCTCCTTCCTGCTGACTGGTACGTCAACCCTTCGTTCCACGTTAGACTACTTCGCCTTAACGTACCATCCACCAGCCAACTCCCACGACATCGACCACCCAGCATGACACGACCACCAACCGAACCAGTCATCACCCCCGACAAAATCTTGAGCCACAGAATTCGCGACCCTCGAGGAGCCCGAAAAAATGAGTTCCTGATCCGCTGGAAAGATCGTACACCCACCGAGGACAACTGGGTTCCCCTGGACAAAGCTGAAAACCACCCTGTCGTCGCCGACTATCTGCGCAGCCGAAACTTCAAAGACATCCACGCGCTTTCGTAAGAAGGACCTCCTTAGGAGGGGGGGTAGTGTAAGGAAATTCCCTTTTCCTTACTCCGCATCCCTGCTCAACGCGTACGTCACTGTAGCACCTCAGTCAGCACCGTTACCACTCGCGACCATCGCATCATTCAGCATCCCGCCATTTTCGCACATCGCATCCCGACCTCACGGCTCGGCTGGTAACCCGCGCTCCGGGCCTACGCTTCGACACTTTCCCAACCTCAGTCCCAGGCTCGTCGCGCGACCATTACCGTTACCACTGTAGTTTCGCTATATATTCTTCGCTCATGCCTTCGCTCATTGTATTCTTGCTTCGATAGTGCAATTCTCGTTCGTTCACTCAATTGCACTCGTAACAGGAAGGTACGTTGGTTTCGTTATGTACGTTGGTATGTTGCAGGGATAGAACTCATAACGGGTCGTACTGCAAGACTGAAACTGTTGCTCTGGCGGACTACCACGCTGGGCAGAGAGATGTGGCTGATCAACGTTCCTTGCAGGAGCAATTGCCATATCACGTGGTCGCAATCGCCCGTGATGATACTGTATATGCTTTCAAGGTCAAGGCAGCAGTGCCGATGATTGGCTGACTGGAAAGCTTACCTCATCAAAATCCAAGGCCAGGTTTCGGATGGATCCTCCTCAAAGGTTCATGCGCGCCCAAACAGTAAAGCACGGGCGAATGCGGGATCGTTTCCGCGTGCTCGCGGAAGCGAGCTGCCCTGAGGCAGAAAGAAACTAGAACCTGCTCAGAAGGCATGCGGTTAGGGTCGGGAGCATCAACCCTAAAATTTTAGTGTTGAGGTTCCCGAATGGCATGCCGGTCGCGATGGGGAATAGTTTTTTTTTTGTCCCGGGCAGACAGCTTCCGCCAGCTCGCGCGTCCTGGTGGGCTCGAAACCCACCAGAAGGGGCACCTGGTGGATTCGAACCTACCAGGGCCCGGATGGACTCCGATGGGGAAAAGATCAACGGTTTTCATTCCTAAGGGAACGGTTGGCGTGGTTGCCTTGCAGTCTGTGACAGGTTCACATCACAGTCTCTGTTTGGAGGAAAATACCCGTTGTACACCCTGTTTCGCGCTAGCAGAGCATCTGGTTGCAGAACATGCACAGGTTGTAGAACGTCACCACGTTTGAAATGGTCTTATCACCGACGGTACAAGCACATTCACAAGAAAGCGGTTAGCTAGGATGCTGCATGGTAAAGAACATTAACCAAGCGTTTCAAAGCGGTTGAAAAGGGTAAACAGCGATAAAGAAAAATTTTGCCCCCAGTACCACTCCGTCAGCTGGTGCGGCTTTGCCCGCAGGTTTCAGCCATACGGTTTATGGCACCTGACCGCACTGTAGCAGCGAATCGCGCAAGGTGAGAGGGTCGAGAAACAGGGTGTATCTTGTGTTGGGGCGGGTAGCGGGTTCGTTTACAGTTAATCGGTGGCTCAAAGACGATTCCAGACGGGGCAAAGCGGTTTTCAAGGTTCACCGTTTTGTACCGTGGCGCAACATGAGTAACCGCACAAAACGAGCGAGGGACAAACGCACTGGACCCAAGTACAGTACAGTAGTGGTGAGCTTCTCCCGTCTTAGCTAAAGCATTTCAAATACTCATCATCACTTCTGCAGCGGACGGAGCAGAACCCAGCCCGCACCCTTCATCATTACTTACTAGTCCGTCGTCTTGGGTTTGGGAGATCGGGTTTGTGTAAATGAGGATTGACCCGGCGATCTGCCAGGGGACCTTCGGTGTGGACGTGTGAATGTGGGACGGAACGGAAACCCACACTGCAAGGCGAAGAAGGTTGACGTCACGTGCTGTGCTTCGCAAGGACCATGGGAGTTCGTTCGCACGAAGCCGGATGCCGGCATGATTCGCATCGAAGCACTGATGATGGCAGACAATCATGCAGCATTCCTCCCGTTTCTGCTGGTCTTGACACCTGCTTGCCACCCCCATCTTGCCACCCGTCCTCCTCCTCGTTCGCAACATGTTGCTCGTGCTACGGCTCGTAGCGAGGTGGCCGGTGAATTGCCCCAAATGGGTGCATTGCGCTGGTTACGAGCACCGCGGTATTCCTCAGCTGAGACCCATCGCCGCCAACACCATTCGTCTGCTGCTGTAACCATCACAGGCCGCCAACCCCATGTTTGCGCATTTAAGAGACGGCGAAAGACCGTAACATCTCTGTCAGCGCGATAATCTGCGATGATTGTGGAAACCTAAAGATCGTCGAATTTCAAGCTCCACGCGAGCTCTTAGACATTATCTTGCCGCACTGCTCGTTATTGGGTAGCTGGAGTCACCATCATGCCGCATTCGTCGCCGGAAACGGCGACCAGTTCGCCGCCGTCGCAATCGTCGTCGCTCGCCATGAAGCCGTGGTCCCCCGGGGTGAGCACCTCGCCTCACCTCTCCCCCCTGTCTGTAGTCCTCAATCAACTCACTAACTCTTCACATAGTACGCATCTGAAAGCGCCCCACCCTCTCGTGTCACGGAGAGTCCAGCCTCGGTAGGCCATCTGAAATGATCCAGGTCGGACCTGACAATCTGGTCCTGGTTGCACGGCATTTGCTCGGAGTCTCATTGTGGGAACCTCTGGATCTTGCATCAAGCGCAAAAACCTGCTCAAACGATCTCAGTCACATTCTGTTACTGACATTCACGCCCATCCGTGCGTGCCTCCGCGACTTTGCTCATCATAATGGCAGGAGGACGCGGTGCTGCTGCGCCACGCGCTGCAGTGCGGCACGAAGCAGTGGGGCGAGCTGGGGAGGAGCGGTCAGCTCAAGAGGAGCAACAAGTCGTGCTGTAACCGATACATCTTCCTCCGAAGGTATTCTGCACCCCAGCACTCTAGCGTTTCAAACTTACCAAGCAATTTCATTTCTGAACTCCTCTCGGTCCGTGTCTTGGTCGCAGGAAGTTTGTTCAACGCTTTCAACAGAACCTCCTGAGGAAGCACCTGAGACGCACTTTTGCAATGGACGGCCATGGTCACTGCCAAGAGAACCAACAGCAGCAGCAGCGCCAGGACGGCGCGGTTTCACCTGAGTCTCAATCGCCCGCCCTTTCTTTCAGTGGACTGTCGTATGAAGAATGCAGGAGCGTGTTCTTCTCACCCAATGCCCGTAGCTCTACCGACCCTCATCTGCCATCTTTCTGGTTCCATCCTACCACCCACCACACTGCTGTCCTCGCTTCCACTGCCGCCTCCAATGCTCCCTTCTCCAGGTCGCCTTTCTCCGCTGCCACTTCTCCCCCCAAAGTTGCTGCTCTCCCAAATTTCATTCCTGTTCCCAATACCGCCGCTCTCTCAAATGACTCTGTGGCGACCAACACAGCGACATACGCCAGAGCAGCAGCGCTCAGCCTGCCCATGAAGAGAGCACGGGAGGAGATGAGCTCTCTCACGGCCAACCAGCCCCTCCTGTCGAATGCCTCCCGGGATGAGCTTGGGCTGCCTCGTCGTGTGGCACAGCGGCCTCAGTCCCTAAGGGAGCTGCTTCAGCTGCGCGGCGAGAGGTGCTGGCAGCAGCAAGCTCTGTGGCCTGCGGTGGGGTCGGAGAGAGCCTGGTTTGCCCATCTGCTGCTGGAGGAGCGTCGCCAGCAGCAAGTGGAGAATGGCGCGGTGCAGCGGGTGTTGTGGCCGCGCGTTGGGTCGGAGAGTGCCCTTCCAGACGACGTGCTGCTGGGGTGCAGCAGCGACGACCCCGCCTTCATCCAGCGCTCTGCTCTGTCTGCTCCTCCGCCCACCCAGCCACACGCAGCGCTGCCAGCGCCAATGCCCTCCCAACTCGCTGCCGGGCCTTATTCTGCTCTGTGCATTGATGATTTCAAGCCCTGCATTGGCGATTCCAAGCCCTGCTGTGGGGATGTGGCTCCGTGCGTTGAAGATGCGCCCCCTGCTGACGCCCGTGCTGCTGTACAGCAGCTGGCCCAGTCCGTCGACTCCTGCAGCCAGGAGCACGGCAACAGCTACGCGCATGACAGCAAGAGCGATGTGCATGCACACGGCAGCAGTAACCACGACATCCCAGTGCAGGGCAACAGCAATGTGCCCTACGGCAGGAGCGAGAGCCTCTTTCTCGACGCGCCCGTCTCCCACCTGTGCCTCGCTGAGCCTGCCTCCACGCCCCTGACAGGTGAGAGCCCGGCACCTCCAGGGGGTGGGGTGGCTCTGCCGGAGTGGGCGGTGGAGCAGGGCGGGACCCACGAGGGAGGTGTTCAATCACACAAGGATCATCGGCAGCTCCTGGGCGGTCATCACCGGCAACAACTGAGCAGTCACCAGTTGCAGCATCTGAGCAATTACCAGCATTGCGTACAGCTTGCATGTGTTCCCTCATTGTCATCACACCAGCCCCTGCCACTGCCACTGCCACTGCCACAGGCACAGGCACAGGCACAGGCAGAGGCACAGGCACAAGCACAGGCACAGGTACAGGCACAGGCACTGATGCGGCCATTGTCCCAAGTGCATGTGCTTTCAGGCTTTGGCACTAGCAGCCCTCAGCATTCAAATGACACACTCTCACACCCAAGGGCCCCACACATGCCTCCTCCTGCCCTGCCGCACTCGACGCCTAGCTCCATCTTGCCACAGCCTCATGTGATTGCCCTGCCGACCCCCGTGAAGAGAGCGGTGGGCGACGTTGGTGATGCCCTGGGAGGTGATTCTGCTTCCTGGGAGAGCTCCTTCCCTCCCGGGCTCAATTCAGATGTGCCTTCTGCAAGCAGTCTGCTTGGGCTCGGAGAAACAGCTGATTTGAAGGTGGAGGACGGCTGGAGAATGGACATGCCTGGTGTCAACTCTGTGTGTGATGAGCCATACAGCTTTTCAGATACGGCCATGCATTCTCGTGGGATATGCCCAACACAGTTTATACTCCCCCAGGTGCTGTCGTATCCACATACACTGCCCCAAGTTCACCGGGGCCATTCTGGCCAAGCTCCTGAGGTGGCACTGGAATTTGCCAATGCGATGCTGCCCAGCTTTCATCCCAAATACTTGGAAAAAAAATGATTCTAACTTGTATTGTGTTGTGTGATTTGTAAAAATGCGTGTTGATATGTGATTTGTAAAAAAATGTGCATTGATATTTTAGGACTAGATATAGCGGTCTTCTCGAGGCATGCTATTTGATGTTCGTTTTTCCTGGACACCCACACCGTCACACCCCACCGTAATGATAACATGCTGGTACTGTAGTCGTAACCCTAGCTCGTGGTTCCTCAGATCTTCTCTTCAACCGTCCGCCATAGCCTGCCCATCGCCACAGCCCGACACTGCAATCGCATTACCATGAGGTGTAGGCCTTCTTAATCTATGGCATCACCGCAACGCATCGCCGTATTTCACGGCGTGGCATCTCGCTCGTGCTGCGCCGTTAAAGCCGTGGCGCTGTGTGGAGCCAAACTTGCCTATGCTCGGCGCAGCGTCTGTGGGTATCCCATCACGAGAAGAAATGGCGGTGGCGCCGGCGGTGATTTTTTTTGGAAGCGCGGAAGACGCGGCGTAGCGACGCGCTGCACGCTCGTGTCGGGTTCTGCCGACTCGAATCCACTAGATTTGGAGTCGGCGAGAGACACCCCGCTGGGCCGCGCGGGTGGCGACGGAACACAAGATCTGCCATCGCCGTCGCCGTCGCCGTCGCCGCCGCCGCCGCTGCAGTCGGAATCGATTCTTTTCATCGGCAAGGTCTGGTGAGCCTGTGTTTCGGAAAATATAACGCTGAGATCCTTGATTATCTCTTCGCTCAACTTCGCCAGCTTTCCTTCCGAGGTCCGCTTCTGCTTTTGCTCTCCCCGCTCATCCCCTCACCGCCTCACCCGTCCTTTCCCCTGATTGCGCCGGTTTCATTGTCGCACTTTCGTTCCTTTTGCCTTTCTCTCGACTCCTCCCCGCTTCCTCGCGTGTCTTTCCCCCCCCCCTCCCTTCCCGTCTCTCCTCCCGCTCCCTTACCGCCTCCCTCTCTCCACTCCGCGATGCCTGCAGGCCGGAGCATGGCAGCACGGCAGCGGGGGTGCGCACGTCGCAACTGCTGCGCGTCCTGGCGGGGGAAACCGGCGGAGGTGGGGGCAGCGCGGGTGAGGGGAGCGCGAATCGACTGCACTTCATGAGGTGATGCGGGCGGAGGGGGGGAGGACGGGGCGAGGCGGGGTGGGATGGGGCGAGGCGGGGTGGGATGGGGCGAGGCGGGGTGGGATGGGGCGTGGCGGAGTTGAGGGGATTGCAAGAGATTTGCGTTCGTGCTTGCTGTTGGCGTTCCTCTCCACCTTTCCCCACTCGCCCCTCGCCCCTTCCCCCCCCCCCCCCCCCCCCCCCCCCCCCCCCGTCTCTCGCCCACCGTCTTTGTTACTCTACATCTTTTCTGCTGCTCTCTCGCACCAGCGTTTCTGTCCCTGCTCTCTCTGTTCCGCGCTCTGATTTTTTTTGGAATTTGCTCAAACTAACGCCCTCTCTACTTCATCTGCTCTTTCTCCCTTCTCCACCTCTTTCCCCTCTCTACTCTTTCTCCCGTCTCTGCTCTCTCTCCTCTTTCCCCTCTCTCTCCTCTCTGCTCTCTCTGCTCTGTCGCCTCTCTCTCTCCGCTCTCTGCTCCCTCTCCTCTCCTCTCCTCTCCCCTCCTCTCTCTCCTCTCTCCCCTCTCTCCCATCTCTCCCCTCCCTGCGCTTTCTGCCCCCCTTACCCGCGCTGCGCCCCCCGCCTTGCCGCAGCCCGGCGAGGAGAAACGTGTATTCGCAGGAGCTGGAGGCAGCAGGCATTGCCACGTACCAGTGTGCGCCCAACAGGTGATATTTCAGGTGCCTCGATGGGGGCAGCAGGCATTGCCACGTACCAGTGTGCGCCCAACAGGTGATATTTCAGGTGCCTCGATGGGGGCAGCAGGCATTGCCACGTACCAGTGTGCGCCCAACAGGTGATATTTCAGGTGCCTCGATGGGGGCAGCAGGCATTGCCACATACCAGTGTGCGCCCAACAGGTGATATTTCAGGTGCCTCGATGGGGGCAGCAGGCATTGCCACGTACCAGTGTGCGCCCAACAGGTGATATTTCAGGTGCCTCGATGGGGGCAGCAGGCATTGCCACGTACCTGTGTGCGCCCAACAGGTGCGATAGCTACCAGCCCTGTCCCGCCATGATGTCGCGCGTACCATATGCACCATCGCATCTCGTGTCTCTCGCATCTCGTGTCTCTCGCATCTCGTGTCTCGCCCCTCTCACCTCTCTTCTCCTCGTCTCTGCACATATGTCTCTCGTCCCTATAACCCTCCACTCCGTTCCTCTCCATACATTCGTGCTTGCCAACCCTCTTCCCTCTCCACGCCTTCCCCCCTCCTTCCACTCCCGCTCTCCCCGTCCCGCACGTCTTGCTCCCCTTTTCTCTCCTTCCCCTCGTTCCCCCTTCCCCCTCCGCGCTCCCCCTCCATGGCAGGGCGGCGGAGTTCCACGCGGTGCTGGACGCCGTGCACCCCACCATTGCCGTCTTTGACAGGTCAGCAACTGTCGCTACGCCACGTCAGTGTTCGTGGTCGACAGGCTAACAGGACAGGAGCGGGGGGGAGGGGAGGGTGGGGGGGGGGGGGGGGGAGTGGGGGAAGGGGTGTGGGGTGGGGAGGGTGGAGTTGAAGGGGGAGGGTGGAGGGGAAACTTAGGAGACAGGGTTTGATTGGGTCGGCTAAGGGGAGTGGCTGGCAGCACTTGCAGTGGCCGTCGCACCCCTGCCACCCGTGCCACCCGTGCCACCCGTGCCACCTGTGCCACCCGTGCCACCCGTGCCACCCGTGCCACCTGTGCCACCCGTGCCACCCGTGCCACCTGTGCCACCTGTGCCACCTGTGCCACCTGTGCCACCTGTGCCACCTGTGCCACCTGTGCCACCTGTGCCACCTGTGCCACCTGTGCCACCTGTGCCACCTGTGCCACCTGTGCCACCTGTGCCACCTGTGCCACCTGTGGCCCTGTCACGCGCTTCCCTCACTCCTGCTATCGTTTTCCGCGTTCCCTCCGATCCCCCCTTGCCCCGCTGCAATCGTCTCTTTCCTGCTCCACCTTTGCTCGCTTTCGATCTGCTTCCGCTCCCTCTCCCATCCATCACCCCTCCTCTAATATCCTTTCCTTCTACCCCCTCCCCCTCCCCCTTCCCCTCCCCCGCTCTCCGATTCCCCCTTGCCCCCTTGTAATCGCCTCTTTCCTGCTCCGCCTTCCTTCCCTTCTGACCTTTTTTCACTCCCTCTCCCATCCTTCACCCCAATATAATCTTCTTTACTTTTACCCCACTCAACCTCCCCCTCCCCCTTCCCTCCCCCTATCCCACCCGCACCCCCCCCCGCCCCCCTCCCGCTCTCCCCTTCCCCCTCCCCCCCCCTCTCCCGCTCCCACCCCCCTTTCCCCTTTCACCTCCCCTCCCCCCTCTCCCCCTGCATGCGCCCAGGTTCACGAGCGAGGAGGCCTTTTCCTTCCGCGTGAGGCAGCGCTGCCCCGCCTGTCTGCTCGTGCTCGACACACAGGACCTGCACTTCCTCCGGGTGGGTAACGTGCGGTGCCATGCAGTGCTGTGGGGTGCCATGCGGTGCTGTGGGGTGCCAATGCGGTGACATGCGGTGACATGGGGTGACATGGGTTGACATCGGGTGCCCTGGGGTGCCATGGGGTGACATGGGGTCTCATCCCATGCTTTTACCTCTCCTCTTGCCCCATCCCATCCTTCCCATCCTATCCCATTCCCCATCCCTTTTCCTCCTCTTTCCTCCCATCCCACTGCATCCCATCCCATCCCACCCCATCTCACCCCATCCCTTCCCATCCCATCCCATCCCATCCCAACCTATCCCATCCCACCCCCTCCCATCCATCCCCTCTCCTCCCCGGGCAGGCAGGCGGGGCGGCAGCAGGTGATATCTGAGGGGGTCTCTATCAGGGACGCGCTACACCACGTACCTGATACAAGAAGCAGGGAGCTGCTGCGCGAACTGGCATCCATGCACCGCTGTGACCTCACTCTGGTCCGTGGCGTGGCGTGGCCCCTCTTCCCCTCCAACTGCCCCCCCACTCTTCCCCCGCCCTTCTTACCCCTCCCCTCTGCCCCCACCCCTTGCCCCCACTCCTTGCCCCCACCCCTCTGCCCCACCCTGCCCCCTGCCTCCACAATCTGCCCCAACCGCCACCTTTTGAACTCGTTCCAGCGTATTTTTCTAGTTTGATTTTCTGCTGGTTGCTTGCTGGTTCGTTGAACAGATTTAGTTCCGCGTGGTTTCCAATCCCCATCCTCCCATTCGCTGTGCACACTCACACATGCGTGCATGCGCTAGTTCACTGCGCCTCACCCACCTTTTTAACCCCCTCTTTCTCTCCTTCCCTACCCTCCCGTCCGCCCACCCGCCTTCTCTCCCTCCCTCCCTCCCTCCCTCCCTCCCTCCCTCCCTCCCTCCCTCCCTCCCTCCCTCCCTCCCTCCCTCCCTCCCTCCCTCCCCTCGTCTCTCACTCGCCCCCTTCAGCTGTGTTCACAGGCGGAGCTCGCTCTCCTCGCGCGCTGCTACGCCTTCCCGCCCCACAAGCTTGCCCTCGCCTCCTTCTTCTATGATTCACCCGAGACAGTGCCAGGTGGGGCAGTGGGAGGTGGGGCAGTGGGAGGTGGGGCGGACAGGTGAGGCAGTGCGGAGGTTTGAGACATTGAGGGGTGAGGGGTGAGGCAGTGAGGGGTGAGGCAGTGAGGGGTGAGGCAGTGCCTGTCGAGGAATCAACAAGGTGGGTTTAAATGTATCAGATGCCCCTGCAATGCCTGCGCCTGCAATGCCTGCGCCTGCAATGCCTGCGCCTGCAATGGCTAATGGCTGCGCCTGCAAATGCCCGCGCGTGCAACCTAGCCAATGTACACCTATAAACGTATCATTCGCAACTCTTGGTACCCTCTTACTTGATGGTTCCGAGCTTCACAGGGCGCATGCAAGGCGCTGTTGTGCTGTTGCTCGTGAGAATGCTCAGAAGCGACCCTTGTTTGTTCCACCCACTCACCTCTTATTTCCGCCTCCCCCCTCTCCCCCCCTTGTCGCCACCACATGCAGCCATCCTCCCAGCTCTTCCTCTGTGTGCCACCCCGCCCCACCCCGCCCCATCCGAGCCTAGGATCGCAGGTTCCACCTCCCCCTGTGCCGCCCCCACACCGTCCCCCTGGGAGCAGCGGCAGCACTGTGTCGTGCTGGGCACGTTCCGCCACGCGCCCAACGTGGACGCTGTCTCCTGGCTCGCCTCCCACGTCTGGCCTCTCATTCGCGCCCAGGTCTGCCCATTCGCACCCAGGTCCGCCCATTCGCGCCCAGGTCCGCCCATTCGCGCCCAGGTCCGCCCATTCGCGCCCAGGTCCGCCCATTCGCGCCCAGGTCCGCCCATTCGCGCCCAGGTCCGCCCATTCGCGCCCAGGTCCGCCCATTTGCGCCTAGGTCCGCCCATGTCTCACTCGCTCACTCTGTCACTCTGTGCGCGGCTCCCTGTTTCCTCCTCTGCTCGCTCTCCTCTCACCCTTTCCCCACTTGACCACTACTCCTGTCGTGCCGTCGTCCCCCCCTTCCCTTTTTTCCCACCCTGCCATGTACCTCTCTCCCCACACCCCACCACCCCCCCCCCCCCTTCCTCTACCCCCCTCATGATATGCGCAGCTACCAATGGCAGAGTGCCACGTGTACGGCTCCTACGTCACAGCAACCATCTCGTCCCTGCACGACCCCTCCTCTGGCTTCATCATTCGCGGCCACGCCCCCTCCCTTCACATGCTCGCCTCCTACCGAGGTCAGCAACACCCCCTCCTTTCCCCTCCCTCCCCATCCCTCTGTTATCGCTTTGCACCCATCCATATCTCACCATTCTCACCTCAACTCTTCAGCCACCTGCATGGCCGTGCACAATCCATATTCCTCCCTGTCTTCCCCCGCCCCTTCCCTCCCCTCCCCTCCCCTCCCCTCCCCTCCCCTCCCCGTCAATCCTCTCCCCTCCGCTCCCCTCCCCTTTTCCCCCTGTCCCCCCCCCCATCCTCTCCTTCCCCTGCACAGTGCTGCTGGCGCCGCTGCGCTACGGGGCGGGCATAAAGGGCAAGGTCCTCGACAGCTGGCGCCACGGCACGCCCGTCGTCACCACCCCCATCGGCGCCGAGGGCATGGGCGGTGGGGGGGGAGGGGAAGGGGGGGAAGAGCCAGGGGAGGGGGACAAGGGGATGACAGAGGGGGCGGGAGAAGGGGATGGGGGGAAGCAGGGGGGCGGGCCTCAGCAGTGGGAGAGGGGGCAGCAGTGGGGGGGGCTGTGTGGGGCGGGGGATGCGGAGGCGTTAGCAGCGGATGCGGTGCGGCTGTACAGCGACCCTCACCTCTGGACCACTTGTCAATCCGCGGTGCGCTGCCTCCCTTTGCTCTGCATGCCTTGCACTGCCTGCCTCACACTGCCTCCCTTGCGTTCCCCTCGTCCTGCACTCGCCACTCTCCCCTCACCTCACTACACCGCAGGGCTGCCTAGGCCCCCATCCATTCCACAGCTCCCTGCCCACCTCCTACCTGTCTGTCCTCTCGTTTCTGTGCCTGCTGTGACCTTCCAAGGCTGTTGATGCGATTGCTCGATGCTGTGGTTCGGACCTTTCGACTCTGTTCATTTTGTCGTGCATTCACTCACCATGAACGACTGTTTCTCAAGCTTTCACGCCCTGTGTGTGCCATGCTCCCCTCCCTCGCGTGCGCCTCCCACAGGGCCGCACCATCCTCCACCAGCAGTTTGGCATGCTCTCCAACGCACCCGCGCTGCTTGCCGCTCTGTCTGCTGCCAAGAAAAACATGCGTGATAACAGAATGCGTGACTATACTGGGGTGAGTGCGAATCTGAATGTATTTCATGTTAACCAACCACAGGTTACTGTAGCAAACCAGTGTGCAAACTAGCACACGATGAGAACAGGCTGGCAGTTATGTCGGTTGTTTGTGACAACCAAAATCAGCCATATTATCCCCAGTATGTTATTCTCTCTGACCCTTATTTTCCTTCCCAATCTGCATTGCACTGCAGGCCATCTTGTGGCATGACAGCAACAGGGCGACCGAGTATTTTTCGCGGTGGATTGAGCTCAAAGAAATGGGTGCAAGATCACCACAGTGAATTGCTAGGCCGCCTACGGTAATTGTAGTTGCCGTGGTTTGGAAATACCTGTGACAGTGATGGCTACACCTAGCACTACCATTTAGGGTGTATTCCTACAGCCTCCTATCAAGGCCACCTCCTATCAAGATTGTACTTGATGCCTGGGAAAAGAAGTGAGGTTTCGGGTTTAGGGGATTTTCCAGTGTGAGCTTGATGGGAGGTCAGATTGATAGGAGGATAGGAATAACCCCCTCAGCAATAAGACGGCTGGGGTAATGTTTGCATGCACCAGCTCGGCTAATTCTCCACAGAAGAAACATGGCGTGAAGACACTCTACAGTTGAGACGTCATTATTTTGGACTACATGAGCGTTTTCCCTTCCATTGGAGACTCGTAAGCCATGTTGGCGGCCACACTGTTCAGAAAATCCCAGCACTTGTAGAATAACACATCACACCAAAAACGAGGACATGAAATATTCGGGTGCTCAGATATTCCATCAGGGTGAAAATCTTTGTGGCTGTCGTTCAATCTTGTAAAATCTCTGAAAGAACGTTCTGCTGTCAACTCCCATAGTTCAGGAGACTATCACATGAGATGGGGTCGGTCAAGTTAGTTGGTGAATTTTGGCCACAACACCTTCCACGGCTGTTGGGGTCCCACGTCATTAAGCCGTGGCAGCTTTGTGATGACAGCAACGCAGCGCGCATATCTTCTGTATGCACGGGGTGGCACATGGGTTTGTGGTTGAAATGATGCGACGCACGTGGTACCGTCCCATCTCCCACGAATCGCACGCAAGTCGGATCTCTCGTGCGGAGGGTGTAGTGGTTACTTTCAGTCCACAGAAGAATTTTCACCCAATAAATCGGACTCTGAAACGCATAAAACTCTCTGAAACGTACAAAACCTGAGGTAATTGTGAAGGGAGTGAAGGCCCCCCCGCCAGCTGTCAGCAGTCACTAGCAGCACGGGACGGGAACAGAGCAGAAATGGAAGAAAGCAGAGCAGACCAGCATAAAGCAGACCAGGACACAAGTTGAGCTGCTCTTAGGAAAACGGAACCCAACAGAACGGGACGAGAGCGTTAGAAAGCAGAAGAAAATGCATCTCGAGCTGACTCGCAACTGTGCTTGTTCCTTGCTCGAAAGCGCTATGGGGCATGCTGTTGTGGACCATGGCCCACCCACGCTTATTTCATGTGCATCTACATTCCGTGCAAAGACACTGTGAAGTGAAGGGGAAAGCCGGATGCGTTTGGTGCACGGGAAAGGTAAACTAGCGGCAGCATTGCACAGTAAATCGGGCGAATAGCGCCGACCCGTGCGTACTGTATCCCCCGCACGTCGGCTCCGCGCAAAATGACAAAGTCGTCTCATTGCCCGTGGCCCACTGCCATCCTCGCCAGCAGGAGCCACCCCGTCCCACCGCCATCGTCCGGCACGGACCGCTCCTGCCGTGTCGCCTAGCATCATGCGGACGATGGTTGCGCAGGACCTCCAGGCAGCCGTGCGACGCTCGCGTCGGCCGCTGGACCTCAGCCTGCGCGCTGTCTGAATGCGCCGGTCGTCACGCCCCCCTCCGCATGCAGCTCAGCCTTGGCGAGTCCTGAAACTCGCCGTTGCTCGGCACAGCCACGGGATGGACGCAGCGCAGCGCAGATGTGCGCGAGGGGAGAAAGACATCATAGAGGTCCCACGCCTTGCCACTCCACAGTACTGTATTCACTGCTTGCTCCTTGCAGCTTCCCGCTCGCACCTCGTCTACAATTAGTGCCAGAGACCGCAATACCTTAGTGATTTTGCAACCTCTCCCTTAGCAAAACAACTGCTCAATTCGGGAACAACGCTCGTGTGAAACGGAGCCTTCCGGCCTAGCATTGCGGTAGTCCCGCCGAATTCACCCGCTTCCACCCGACGCGCCGCCCTCAGCCCCGCTCGCTGTTTAGCTGCTGCACGCAGCCCGCGTCGCGGATCACATTCGCAAAAAGGCCCACCTTCACGATGCGAGCGTCGCACGTTCGCGACATTCTGCCGAGATCGCACGCCGGTGTCGCCGCAATGGAGGTAGTCGCGGAGAGCCCCTGCCCCTATACCGCAGCAGCGGACGTCGGTCTCCGCGCGCGCGCGCCGCAGCTCCGCCAGCGGGCACCCGCGGAAGCACCAGCCGCGGGCTCCGAGCCACGCCTCGCCCGGCCGGGCGCTGGCAGGAGAGCGGCGAATGCGACCCGCTCGCGGCAATACTTGGCGCGATGGACCCCCGAGGTGAGCTCTCCGCGCCCCTCCGTCTCCTCCCCTTCTAATCGTCTTGTCAGTTCTCTCCGCCGCGCTACCAGGGATGGTTGTCTCAATTGTTCCCGCCCCCCCCACCTTCGTTGGCGCGCGCAGGAGGACGCGATTCTGTTGGAGCACGTGATGGCGCACGGCACGGCGGAGTGGGGGCAGCTCAGGGCGAGCGGCCGGCTGCCGCTGCGCGACAACAAGGCGTGCTGCAACCGCTTCCTGCTGCTCAAGAGGTATGCCACAGTTGCTTCCCGCTGCTCAAGAGGTATGCTGATGGTGATGGTGAGCAGAGTTGTCGTCCTATCGTGCTTATCATAGGCACTCTGTCGTGTGGTCGATGGCTGACATCTCTCCGTGGCCCGCTCACCCTTGTCTTCTCCCTCCTTGCCCTCCACCTTCCCCTTGCGTGTGCATCCAGGAAGTTCCTCCAACTCGACGACCACCAGCAGCAGGAGCCGCATTACCAGCCGCATTACGAGCAGCCCCGCCAGCAGCACGACACCTCCCCCTGGCCCCGCCGCCAGCATGATGCGCACCCCGCCAACCTCCCCTGCTGCCTCCAACCGGCTGACACCGCACTGCACCTGATGGCCACTGCGCCACACGCCTACCCACAGGCGGCACAGGCAAGGCAGCACTCGGCGGCACGGCACAGCGGGTGGAAGGGCGAGTGGAGGGGGAGCCTTGAAGGGGTTGCGTGGTGGGAGGGGGTGGTGGACCCGCGCCTGGGAAGCACTCTCACGGTCGCACATGCGTGGGATGGCGCAGTGGCGTGCGGACGTGTTAGTGAGTCGGTGTGCAGCAAGAGTGCATGGGTTCAAGGCAATGCGGTGCGGCTGCAGCAACAAACGGCCGTGGTGAAGCAGCAGCAGCAGCAGATTCACGCAGGTGGAGTGTGGGCGTGCGTGGAGCAGGCTGTGAAGGCAAGCGCCTCTGCTGCTCCATCAGCATGCTGTGCCGTGCTGCAACCACCCTCTGCCTCGCCTGCACTCCCTACCGCTTCCAGTCGCCTCAGCCACTGTCCTCTTGGTCTGCTGCACCCAGATGCCCCACTCGTGCTACCCTCCTCACCTCCCTCAAGCCACTCTGCACCTGCAGCAGACGCTGTTGCTGCTGCTACTGCCACTGCTGCTGCTGACCCATGCCCGCCCCAGCTTCAACTGCCCACCCCACTCTCTGCTTCCTCGTCGCTGCCCTGCCTGCTCCCCGCGCTGCCTCCCCTCCACCCTCTCCCTCTCCCTCTCTCCCGTCCGGACTCTCACCTGCACGCTCCCCAGCCCCTTGCTGCACTCCGTGGCACCACTGCTGCGCCTGCCGCTGCTGGTGCTGCCATTGACGCATGTGTGAGGGCAGGGCCGTCGGACGGGCAGTCTCAGGCGGATATGGACAGGTGGGTTCTGGAGCAGGTGGGGCTCATGGTGGGCGGGCAAGAAGGGACTGCGCCCGGGGGTGGTACGCTGCTGGCAGATGTGAGAGGGGGAGGTGGGGTTGGAGTGGGTGGAGGATTGGGAGAAATGGAAATTGCGGCAGGGGATGGAGGGGGAATGGTCGGTCATGGGGGAAAGAGGACAAGGGTGAGTGGCGGAGGAAAGTGGGATGAGCAGCATGGGGAGGCGTGCATGTGGGAGGGGCCTGGAAGTCACTGTGGAGGGAGGAAGCGGGTTGAGCAGGAAGGGGAGCCAGCGATGCTGAGCCAGGAGGATGGGCATTGGCAGGCTGTTGCCAGTGACGAATCCCGAGCTCATAACCTTGATGACACAAGGGTTCTGAAGAGCCAACTCCTGACTGTGTTGCAGAGTGCCCTTAGTGGTGACGAGATAGATAGTTTCATGAATCAGTATGGAGATGTTTGTCTCCTTGAGAGAACTTGCTGAAGTATAATGACTAGTTTGAATTTGTTGGCTGAGCAAGCCCTTAGTATCTTTGCAGGACTAAACTCCTGGTAGGACTGATGTAACAGCGGAAGCGTTTAATGAAAGATTGAGAAAGCTTGCTTTTCTTATTCTTATCAATTGGCATCGTTCTCATTACAAATGGCTTATTACAACATTTGCATCAACGTTGAGCACAAGCTGGTGCAATCGAATAACACTAGCTAAGATGTACCCTATCCAAGTGGCATTAGCAAGGCGGTTTACTCTGGGGTGGGTGGTGGGAGTGTTGAGTGAGCCGTTTGAAAATCGAGAAACGTGGGTGGAGGGAAATGAACTCCAACCCACGGTTTTTGTAGTTGGAGAAGGGCGTTTAGCGCGCTTCGACGATGCCAATTGTGCAGTACAAGCAGCTTCGCTTTCACAATACACAATTTTAAAAAACACAATGTGTGTTTAAAAATTATAATGTTTGTGAACCACCTTGCGCTGGTGTGTGGGGGCAAAGTAGATTGATTAAAGCAAAGAGATACAAGGTTTTATATGAGTACAGGGAATATGGAAAGTTTCAGCTATAACTGTTTTGCTGTTGTTGTTGCGGTTCGATACAGTGACGACTCGGGCAACTGCTCTGTAACGAGTCAGTTGTGTGTCCTTGCTGTCGTGCTGTACTTGTCAGGTCAAAGGTCGCTGACCTTTGACTTTCGCGTAACCTCCAGCAGTTGCTCAACCTCCGAGGGTTGACTCGCCGATGCTTCGATATGTTTCGCCTCGTTTTACGACTTAGTGTTTCGACACGACAGAGGCGCTTAAGTTACTTGTTTCCAACACTCCCCTTCGCTTCTGGAGTGTCGCTGCTGGTGACGTGGCTCTGTCCAGTCAGCAGCATGCAATACTCAAACTTCTGCTTTCCGAGTTTCTTGGTCAAGTAATCAGCTGCCATCTCGGACGTGGCGCAGTAGGACAGCTCGAGTCTCCCTTTCTCGATCTCGTCCTTCACGAAGAAATGTCGCAGGGCGATGTGCTTCGTCCTGTTCGCGAATCCATTTTTGTTGGCTTTGCGAATTGCCGACTGGTTGTCGCAGAACAGAGTGAAGTTGGGTAACTGAGCCAGCTTTGCATCCTCCAAGAGTTTGCGAAGGTACAATCCTTCCTTGGTGGCTGAGCAGAGTGCGATATATTCTGCGTCACCTGAGGAGAGAGCGATTAGCTCCTGCTTGCTCGACTGCCAGGAAATGGGCCCGATAGGCTCGAGGCGATAGATGTACCCGGTGCGTGAGCGTCTGTTGTCGGAGTCGCCGACGTGATCAGCGTCGACCAGGCCCTCAGATTGGTTTGAGGGTATGCTGATGGATCAGCGTGCCCCTGCCAACCAGGTGTCCAAATCAGCGTTGGTGGTTTTCAATATACTGATCCTGTCAGGTTAAAATTTTCCACTGTACTGATCCTTCAGTGTAAAAAAGTCCAAAATAAATATACCTAACCTAACCTACCTAACTAGTATTACTAGAGAACTAGCTCATGTCATCATCTGAAGAAGAAACGCTACTGCTACTGCTGCCATCATCATCACTCTCACTGTCATCGCCTGCAGAACCACTCATGCCCTCATCTAGCTCCTCCTCCACCTGCACCAGCCGGCGGCCACTCCCCTTAACAAACTTGGCCTTGGCCCGCTCCTTCTCTGGCGCAGCTTGCTCCTTGCGCTTGCTGGGGCGCCTGTTCCTGGTACTCCGCCAGATGTCCACCACATTGTCCCAGTCCATGTCGTAGTCGAGCAGCGACATCGCCATCAAATCTCCCAGCTTGGCGTTGCAGAGACTCGTCCGGCGCCACGACTTTATCACATTCTGGCGGGAAAACCCGCGCTCGCACTCGACTGTGCTGAGCGGCAGTACAGCGACGGCAGCCCACAGACGGACTAGGTTGGGGTAGCTGGTTTGCCAGTCGCTGGTCTGCAAAATGGCCTTCAAGCCTGCGTGAAAGGACTGCTCTTCCTTGGGCGCAGTGGAGAGCACCGGCAGGAACGTGCGCAGCTCCGCTCGAGCTGCACGCTTCTGGACACCTGCCAAACAGGAGAGCACAACCGGGTAGAAAGTCAAGCTCTCAACATGGCAATAACGCAACCACGGAAACGGCTACGCATACACACAGAGCATAGGGGTTCCGTCTCTAGCTCACCTGGCAAGATCGTGTCCCGGTTCTTGGCCTGGAACAGATGGACGAGGCCGTGCAGGTGCTCCTTGCACTCGGCGTCTCTAGCCTCGGCGCCCCTCGGGCACGAGCGGGGCATGAAGAGCTTCGCCCCGTTCAAGCGCGTCAGGTCTCCCAAGCGCAGCTCGACGTTGTACACCAGCTCGCGGGCGAAGGAGCGGCAGCAGGTGTAGCAGCCTTGCATGTCCCCGCTGCTGGTGGTGTATCCCTTCACGGCCTCCTCGTGCAGGTCGAACTTGTGTACCCGGGCCTCACCATCCTTGTCCACCCCCTCCACAGTCACTTCACGGCAGTCCGGGGAGGCGTGCCGCGCGAGGAATGCAGACAGCAGCTCGCTGGTCCCACCGCCAAACTGCTGGCCACAGTGCAGGTACCGCTGCTCCATGTAAATGATGGTCCGCCTCACCTGGGAGTGCACTGCAGTGAGGTCAACCTGTTGGTAGGGGGAGAGTAGGTACACCGAAACAAAAGATAAGTAACTGGGTTTAGAAGATGAGAAAAGCACTACGTAACGCAACACCTCACTTGACGCTTCTGGAATAGCAAGTTGAGCGCGTTGAGTGCCGTGTGCACATCTGCCAAGAAGAACAGAAAAAAATGAAACTTGAACGACGTCACCAACTGGTACATCGTCTTGTCCGTCTCCTCGAGCATGACGATGACCGCAGGGAAAACGCGGACGAATCGGGCGATAGCATCGCCTCGACTCAACCAGCGGACCGAGTGGATCCCCTGGACCTCGAGGTTGGTGTGCGTGAACACCTCCTGCAGCTCCTTGAACTTGCGGTTGTAGTTGTTGGATCTGCCTAGATCTTCCGCCAATGCGCGGATGACCGCGTCAATGATGCCAAGCTCGGGCAGTGCCTTAGCCGCCTCCTTTGCAGCAAGCGCCTCCCTGCTACGGGTAGGAAAGCACAGGTGGGGGTGTTAGAATTCGCACTGCCACGTTGCACATTTCACACTGCTACAACACCACCACAGCATCAGCTTACATGTGTGCGATGCAGTGACAAGCCACCACGTGCGGGATCTCCAGGCGAAGGCGCCCAACGAGGCCCGTGTCGTTGCCTATCATCACAGGTGCCCCATCGGTGCTGATACCCGCAACCTTCTCTAGCGGGAGGTTGATACTGTCAAGGAATTCCGTGAGCTTAGAAAAAAGAGAAGCTGCATCACACTTCTCGATGGAGAGGTTAGTTAGGAACTCTGTGGTGACGGCGTGCTCACGTAGAAAGGTTGCAAACACAATCATGTGCTTGCCTTTGACGCGGTCCGTACTCTCGTCGCAGGTCAGACCAATAAATGGACTCGAGTTGATGAATTCTCTCTGGCGCGCACGAAGGTATGTTGCTATTGCGGCGGTTATCTCCTCGAATCCGTACCTGCATGGGCATCAACGGGTGGGGTCAGAGATAGCTGCAAGTACATCACAACCCGCTGCCAGTTGAACAAGAGCAGTGTCACTTACGTCGTATAGTACGCACCATAACTGTTCTTTGGGAAGCCCGGGGTGCCACGCTGCGCCAGGTGTTGGACGAGGTCCACGTACATCTCGATCGGGGCGTCGGACTTAGCGATGAAGAGCGCCGTCTGAAACAGCGCGAGCAGGCGCTCCTTCTCCACGTCTTTCACATTCGGGTTGTCGTCAATACGGGCATTTGCTTTGAGAGCCGCCTCGGCTGTCTTCTGTCTGCGCACAGCGCGGCGGTGCTTCCTTGTGCGCTGATGCTTCCGCATCGCCTGAGTCTGAACATCGGTCGCCCCTTCTCCTTTGGCGCCGAAGTTCGTCCCCGTACCGGCGTGCGCAATGCAGACCTTGCACTTGATTGACGGGAACCCTACTTTATTCTGCAGCAGTACAAGCCACGGGTAGTCGTCAGACCATTGTTTGTTAAACATAGCTAAAGCCTCTTGGTATTTCTCCTCGGCAATGTCGGGCAGTTCTGTATCGGAAGACACCTCAACCGCTTTCCCCTTCATTTTACGCTGACGGGCCTTCGGGGAAGAGTTACCCACACCGGACGTTGGTGTAGCTTGACTGGAACCCCACCCGATCTTGGTCTGGTGGTACCTCACTTTAATACCCCTTTTAAGACGAGGACCTTGCCGAGTAGTTCCGGCAGCGACAGGTTGACGGTTCCGTGTGGGTTCGGGAGCGGCAGGTGTAGATCCGACAGCGTCAGGAGTTGATGCGGCAGCGACAGGCGTTGATGCGGCAGCGACAGGCGTTGATGCGGCAGCGACACGAGTTGATGCAGCAGCGACAGGAGGTGAAGCGGCAGCGCCTACATGCGTCGAACACTCGCCCTGCATCCAGATGGTAGGTGCCTCGGGGCCAGTGGAAGGGAACGGCACGGCTTGAGCTGACGGCGGGACTAACGCGGGAGCAGCGTGAACGCGTCGTAAAAAGTCTAAGCCAGTAATAGCGGCTGGCCTCGTGCCTGCGACGGGCGGAGGGCCGTCACCTGCGGGCGTCGAAACCGCCATGGCTGCTCAGCGCTGCAGAGCATGCCGAGCTTGAGGGAGAAGCTACTCCTGCTTCAGCTCGAACATCACTTCCTGCAGGGGTTCACGAGGAGTGCAGGAACAGAATGAGGGAGCAGATGGGGGTACCCCCTCTCCCGAGCTGCGATGACGAGGGATCTTGGTCCAGGCCAGGGTTTCCGTCTTCCCAGGCAAGATGACAACACCCCCACTCCACTCTGCCATCCCTGGCGTGTTGGCGTGGACCCTGCCACCAGTGGTGTGTTGTCTGTGTTCTCATTGGGCAGTTGTGAACTAGGTTAGCC